TAAAATAAAATAAAATAAAATAAAATAAAATAAAATAAAATAAAATAAAATAAAATAAAATAAAATAAAATAAGCATTAATGTACAAAAGTCAAATGTTAAAAATATTTTACAGACTAAAGTGCCAGTCCTCCAAGTGGCCTAGGCAACGTTCAAAAGTTGAGAAGGAAATTATTCAGAGCAAGGAATCGTTTATCTTTAGAACAAGTAGGAAGGCAAAAGACAATTGTGAAATGAGAAATGAGCCAGGGTAAATTGGATATCATCAAATGTGAGATGGCCAGGTTGAAAATTGATCTCCTTGGCGTCAGTGAGCTACACTGGATAGACAACGGCTATTTCCAGTCTGAGGAATTCACTATGTATTACTCGGGACATGACACCAGGAAAATGAATGAAGTGGCAGTTATGACAAGCAAGAAACTCGCCCAAGCAGTAGAAAGCTTCTCAACAGTAAACGATCACATTATGGCCATCCAAATCTGTACCAAGCCCCTCAAAATCACAGTTGTCCAAGTCTACACCCCAACGACTGGTGCAATAGAGCTTGAAACTGAGGGTTTCTAGGCCAGCATCGAAAAAACTTAGAAGCCAGTGCCCAAAAAAGACATTGTTTATATACTGGGTGATTTTAATGCAAAAGTTGGTAGCCAAGCAGAAACAGGCATCACGGGTAGCTTTGGACTCGGGGAGAGGTATGATGCAGGTTATCATTTAGTACAATTTTGCCATGAAAATCGATTTTGAATCATGAATACCTGGTTCAAACAGCACAAGCATCGCAAATAAACTGTGCCATAATCAGATCGCCTATGTCCTATACAGCCATTGATGGACCAGTTCAGCCCTCAATGTCAAGTCACATCCAGGCGCCGATTGAAGTTCAGATAATGAATTGCTGGTGGATAAGATCAGAGTCAAATTATGCAACATCAAAAAGACAGCACCACCAAAGAAGTTTGACATCACCAAAATTCCTTTCATGTATGAAATTGAGGTGGAAAATAGGTTTGAACTGCTGGACACTGCTGAGAAGATGCCTGACGAACTGTGGCAGCAAATTAAAGTGACCATCACTGAAACAGCAGTTGAACACCTACCATACAAGAAGCCAGAGAAAAGGCCCAAGTGGCTCTCAGATGAAGCCATCAGAATAGCTGAGCAAAACAAAGCAGCCAAAGTAGCAGGAAAATGGAGGAAGCATGGAGGTTGAATGCAGATTTCCAAAGAGCAGCAAGAAAAGACAACAAAGTTTACTGGGACCAGCGTTGCAAGCAGCTAGAAGAGGACTGCATGAAGGGCCACATCAGGAATGCATTTGCACAAGTCAAAAGGATTCAAACACCATTTTCCGCTCATAAAAGCATAATAAAAAACAAGCAAGGGAAAGAACTGTCTGATCAACCAGGTGTCAAGAACAGATGGTGAGAATATACAGAAGAGCTTTTTGCCAGCAGCAAAAAGGCCCAGCTTTCTCAGGATAATGAGAAAGGGAAGCAGAAATAAAACCAGCCATCCTTCAGGAAGAAATCATGTGGGCAATGAGCTAGCTGCCAAGCAACAAGGCTCCAGGTGTTGGTACCATCCTTGCAGAATTGCTGTACCACCCATAACCATCATAGCCTTGTACCAGAAAGCTTGGAAAATGAACACAGGATTGAAAATGATTAGTGTTCAATCCATTGCCAAAAAGGCAACTCCAAAGACTGCTCCAATTACCACACAATTGCCCTAATCCCTCATGTTAGCAAGATTCTCCTTAAGATTATACAACACCTGGCACCAACCATTAAAAGGGAATTACCAGATGTCCAAGCTGGCTTCAGAAGGGGTCATGGCACCGTGACCATATTGCAGATTTTTGCTCAATTGTGAAAAAAATCTCAAGAATATCAAAAGAACATCTACATCTGCTTTATTGACTTCCATTGTGTCATTCATGACAAGCTGTGGAGAACTCTAGAAGACCTGGGGGTGCCAACACATCTGGTCGAGTTAGTGCAGTTGCTGTACACAAATCAGGAAGCCACTATACAAACACTACATGGAGACACTGATTGGTTCAAGATAGAGAAAGGAGTACGGCAAGATTGCATTCTTTCATCTTTCTTATTCAACCTATATGCCAAAGTTGATCATGAGAAAGCTGAAACTTGAAGAAGCAACAAGTGGAGTAAAGATTGGAGGAAGGAACATCAACAATCTTGGATATACTGATGACACAACTCTCCTCTCAGAAACCAAAAAAGGTCTGAAATATCTGATCAAAAGGATTAAAGAAGAAAGTGAGAAATTTGGCCTCTTCTTGAACATCAAAAAGACGAAGCTCATGACCACTGCAGGGAATGGAAATGTCAAAATGGCAATTGATGAAGACATTGAATGCGTGCAAGAATTCACTTTCTTAGGATCACAGATTGATCAAAGTGGTGAATGCAGTCCAGAAATAAAGCGTGAATCACACTAGGCCACGCAGCAATGATGAGCATGAATTGAAAATGGAAAAACAAAGACATCAGCCTGGCAATTAAATGCAAATTAGTCTGCACTATTGTGTGTCCCATAGCTACCTACAGTTGCGAAAGTTGGACTGTGAAAAAACTAGTCAGGAGGAAAATCTACTCATTCGAGCTGTAGTATTGGAGAAGGCTCCTGTGCATTCCTTGGAAAGCAAAGGTGACAAACAAGCAAGTCCTGGAGCGTATAAAACCAGACATATTGCTATAAGGCAAAATCACAAAATTCTGCCTTACTTATTTCAGCCATGTAATGCAATCAAACTCACTGGAAAAAGCAGTTATGCTTGGAATGGTCAGTGGTAAAAGGAAACGAGGCCACCAAAAACATGGTGGCTAGACACCATCAAACCCAACACCAAACAGAGCATAAAACAACAGAAAGAAGCCATATGAGACTGGAAAATGCGGAGAGAACTGGTTCATAGAATTGCCAAGAATCGGACATGATTGAATGGAGAGCATCATCAGAAAGGAAAATGAGATCCCAAAAGCTCCTAAACAGTCAAACCAAATGGAAATACTGTACATTATGAAGAGAGAAGTGATAAAAATGCGGAGAGAACTGGTTCATAGAATTGCCAAGAATCGGACATGATTGAATGGAGAGCATCATCAGAAAGGAAAATGAGATCCCAAAAGCTCCTAAACAGTCAAACCAAATGGAAATACTGTACATTATGAAGAGAGAAGTGATAAAGTCAGCTGTAATACTGACTCATTGTCTCCCACAAATTTTCTTCCATCTGACTGATCTTCCTATTTCTCATTTTTCTCCATGAAAATTGACTTTTGGTTTGTCCAGTGATAGGTTGGAGAAAAAACCTGCAAAAATAATTTTCAACTGTTTATGAAATCTAAGATGTTTCCATCTTATCAAGTAATATAAGCCCATAAATTTTGGCAGGTGGAGATAGAGAACACTTTCATAGTGGCCCATTGTCTTAGCCCAGTTTACAGATTTATTAGCATTTATTTCACTTTTTCTTATCCCAGAATCTAGGCAGATGTTTGCTATCCAAAAAGATAAGCAAGCTTTGTAAATCAAGCCATAAACTGGCCTTTTCTTTGGGTCAAAATTCTCCTTCATTCCACTCTAGTACTCTGCCTTTGGTATATTTGGACACCCTTGTATAAATAAGTCCTCTGCCACAGTGATCATCCAAATAGTTTTCATGTCTGCATGACTGAGGTTCTGCACTGCAACTATAACACATTAAAATAAGTTTGTTTGGTTTTTTTACAAATAACTGTATGATTTTTTTTATTATGTACAAATAATGTGTACATCTTTAAACATGATCACACTGTGTGGAGAATATGACAGTTTAGAATGGAATGGAAAGTAAGCATGTAGAAATATAATGTGCTGGATTATAAATGCATCCTCTTCATAAAAAAAAAAGGTTTAAAAATTAAAATAACATAGAAGTCACAGATAACATGGCTGGCTCTGAATCAAACCTATCCCACTCTAACTTATCCCCATCCAAAATACCACTGAAAGTTTGAGGCATCAGTGAAATTGTCTTGGAGACTTTTTCAGATCTAGAAAGAGGGGCAGTCCAGAAGCTACAATGAATCACATCACTCTGCCTGACCTTTAAAAGCCTCCTAGAATTAGGGTTTCTTTTGTTGTTGTTTTCTTTTAAAAAAGTGGACTCTTGAATTGCAAAATGTTTTTCTTATCCTGTTCAGAAGATTAGTATCTGATTAAAGACAGAAAGCAGAGTTACAGTTTTTATAACCCAGATGTAAATAATTAATGGATCTTTTTAGGGTTTTATATTAAACTCCAGACTGCTAGAGGCCTGTCAAAGTCTTGGGTTCTTATGTTATTTCAAGAAACTAAGTAAAAGTATCCTCTATAGTGTTATACGTTTATTTTCCCTTTTTCTTTTTTCAATGATATTTTTTTCGAGCCATTATTTCTCCTCTAATGGCTATTTTGCCAGTTTTGCTCAGCAAGTATTCTATAAGCTACTTCCTACTTTGCAGTGCCTGGCAACATAATTTGGGTCCTATAGATACAATGTCAGATAGTTATAGCTCTTATCACATGGAAACACAGCAAAATTCTGCCAAATGTTGTCACATTAACAAATAAGAGCTTGAAGTATACCCATTTAAAACTGACATGCTGGCAGGATAAAATGGGAATACAGTGGTACCTCTACTTACGAACGCCCCTACTTACGAATTTTTCGAGATACGACCAGCTCCGGCCCCAAAAATTTACCTCTACTTACGAACTGGATCCGTGGCCATTTTCCCTGCTGCCACGCGGTCGCGGATTCCTGTGGGCGAGATCGCGGTAGCAAGGAGATGTTCGGTGAGGCTTGTGGTGTGTTTTGT